GGGCGGTAATGCGCCTTAACATTGGTTGCCAACCAAGAAGAAGAAGAAGCTGTGAGCCAGGAGGGAGTGGGTTAGTGAGTCCTGAGTGATTCGTTCGCTCTATGGCTGTATCCCAATTCAGGGTCTGCAGCCTTAAAGGCTGCATTTTAAGGCCGATTACGTCACAGCGACTCGATGAAGGCTGTCCCAATTCAAAGGCTGCTCGAAATGTGGCCCTCAAATGTGTCCTTCATTTCCCTGAATTTTAAGGAATTTTAATGATTTTAATGTAGACTTCATGGTCCAACATATCCCAGAATGCATAGCACGGCAGTGGGTGTGGATAATTTTGCCGAAAAAAAACTGCGGATGAGGGCGGAATGATCAAAGCTCATGTAGAAACAAACACATGAACAAAAGATTTTCTCCTTCATTTCTGTCAAACAAAGCTGTATGACACGTTTCCAGCTGTTAGTATCATGGTTGCTAGGCAACCTGGGCAACACGACGGAGGCTAGATGGTCCCATTTCACAAGCCTCGCACTTCCGGCCTTAGCGGTCTTTGAGTACTCGGCCCTTGAGGATCGTTGAGGCCGCGTACTTTAAGGCTGCAGACCCTGAATTGGGACACAGCCAAGGATTCAGCACAGGAGGGAGGGGGTGAGTGAGTCCTGAGTGATTCGCTTACCCTACGATTCAGCACAAGAGGGAGGGGGTGAGTAGCTCAAATGTGCTGTTAGCAGAGCGATGCTACTGTGAACCGAGGAGCTATTGTCTTGATGAGCTTCTCCTCAGGGTTTTTTCTTCCAGTTCAGAGCAGAAATTTTTTTGTTAAGATACTGGATGTTGTGTTTTTCTCCACAATTTTAATTATAAGTTAGATACATTGCTGCTAACAGCAACAGGGATGAGTCTGTGAGTCAGTTGGGCTTGTGAATCATGATTCATGAGTCAGTAAAGTGATTCTCGAGTATTGAACGATTCATTCATGATTCGCGCATCACTAGTTCCTTAACACTTAGAGCCCCCGAGAGCAGCCATTTGGCCCAGGTTGGTAGAGGATCCAAAGAACAGGTTGTAGAACGAGCTGCATTTACAATCTTAGTTAATACAGACAGGGAAGTAACCTTGAAGTCAGAGAACAGTTTATCCAGGCTCCAGAAATCTAGAGGCCCTCCAGAGCACAAGATCCCAAGGAGGACCACTGAAGGGGTTGTCACCCCACCCTCCTAGAAAAGAGCTGAGGAGAGCCCCAGACGGGGCAGTCACCTTGCAGGCACTGTGCACAGAAAGCTGTGACGATGTGCCCACAGGCTCCGCCAGCAGCCAGCTACGCCAGAGCAGACACACCCCCCCGGGCCCAGAGACCCGAGGGTCCCCCCACCACCCGGAAGCGGCCCGACTAAGCCATGGGCTGGTTCTTATAGAGCGCTATTCTGATCTCAGTACTCAAAGCAATTGATGACAAACATTTGACTTTTTTGTCAAAAGAGCAGCTGAATACAAAAAATAAATGAATGTGAATGAATTCATTTGTGTGATTCTTTTTAAACAAATAACTTCAAAAAGTATGCTAAATGCTTCTACAATATAGGTGAAACTAAAATGAATGTGTTATAAGAAATACTCACATATATATTAGTTTAGCACTTTCTAAAGAGAATACCAAATGTGGTCTTTTCATACAGAGGTGGGCCCTGTTCTGACACCCTTTTTAATTCTATTCACACCCAGTCATGTGCTTCTAAGATACTAACACTGTAACTGAACAGTTTTCTGCTTTCTGAATATTTAGCCTCTTTCACCAGACATTCTCTTTTATCCAGAATGTCTCTCTGTGCCTCTTACAGTTACACTACATCACTGACAACAAATTTAGCAATGCTTCCTCGACTCTCAAGGTCTTTAAATAGCTGCAGCTCACAGACCGGGCAGCTGCTTCTGTGCGTCTTACTCTGGTTTGACCCAATTAAGCCTTTAAAGGCTAATCCCATTCCTGCTATTTTTAGATTAAAGTGCTGATAAAGTTTTTTTGTTTTTAAATATCTTTGCATTTCTGTTCCAAGAATAAATGTGGGTTGTCACCTATCCTATCTCTCAGAGATTTTTAGTTATTTGCTGTAATCTCTGTGAAATTGTTCCCCTTAGATTTCCTCACCTTGACACCAAACAAACAAATAAACAAAACTTAATATTAGCCAGATTTATCCTGTGAACTACTGTCTCACCTATATGGGCTGCTCCTTTTGACTCTCTCCTTCTCTCATTGGCTGCATTCCTTTCTTCTTTTTCTCAGCCCTGCCCCCATCTATCATTCTTCTCCTTCTTGCTCACTAGTCCTTACCTCCCTTGACAGTATATTTCTTTGGCCATGGATGAAAAATGTCAAACACTCGTGAAAAGAAGACAAAAAGAAGAAAATTAAGTTGCTGAAATCGCAAAGGATGCAAAAGAAAAAAAGAACAAAGAACAGGAAACTGTGGATAATAGAGAAGTTGCATCAGCTGAAGCAGCAACCACCAGTTGCCATACTGGAGATTTTCAGTTGGAGCCAATGGAACTACCTCCTTTTGAAATAATTACAGGGTAGGTTACCCCTTTGACAAATTTATTTTAAAATAAATGCATCTTACACAGTTTTTCTGTCTGTTTTTTCTGCGACTCTTTCTTAGATGTCTGTTACTGTAACATGTTCATTTTGCTGTGGTCTGTGTGGTGTTAGCTCTACTAGCCACTGAGCATGTTATGCGTTCTGTCCATCTCCCATATACTCTTCCAGTATTGCTCCATCTCCAACCTTGGTGGGGGTTTTTTCATATAGTTCTCCGGCCACTGACAGGATATTTTGTAGGTATTCCTCTCGTCATCGCAGTTTTCTGCAGTTCTGATAGTTGGCTAACTTCTCTCTGTGTTGCCTTGATCTAATCTGATTTTCCATGGATGATGATATCTCCCACCGATCTGGGACAATACTTGTCATGCATGGTTTTGTCCTACAGGCAGAAAATGCCCATGTGTTAAATTCAGCTTTGGGAAAAAACAATGACTTTAGAACATGTAAAACATCCATGTAAAACACCGATGACCTAACAACTCCCCAAAAATTAAGCCAAAATGTCTTTATCGCCCCCTGTTGTCTAGCTTCATAAACCCCGCCTCCTCCATATTAGTGGGAACAGCTTGTTCCTGATGGTCTTCTTCACCCATCTTTGTTCAGGGTGAATGTATCTGTAGATAATAATATGGACTCTGGATCCTGTTAACAAATAAAAAGATCTAATTACACTTATATGAAACCTGCTGCTATGTTTTTACATTGAACATTTTATTTAAAGTTCCCATGTTACCAGGCTGTAGAGTGACCTGTGAGTGCAAAATGGGTCTGATCCTCAGTCTTAGTTAAAATCCTAAAGGACAACATTTAATTTTCAGATATTTCTGACATTAACACTTCCTCTGGGCCTCTGTGCAGTGGGCAGCTGATGTCATCTCAGTCTAAAATAGGAGTGCCGAATCATTCGACTATATAGACTACAAGAGTAACACAGGTGTGAAGCATTGCTAACTAGCTAGCACAAGTCTCTAACACTGTGTGCATGCTAAACGGTTAATCTAGCAAAGTTCTTAATGATAGGAGCAACAAACTGATCAACTATAAGCTGTTAAGGCATATGTCTTTTTAATTATAGCAACGTGGTTGTATTTATCTTAATTTAGCAAGCTGTCAGTCACAGTAAACTAGAGATGGACCGATCCGATATACACTATCGGTATCGGTCTTAATCTGACCTAAATTACTTGTCGGATATCGGGGAGAAAAGTAATCCGATCCATTAAATAACACAAAAGCATCTCACAAAACTTGCAACAATGCATAGGCCAGGCCAACCTTAGCACGTTGGAGCAGTATGCGTCACGTGACAGAGCAGCTGTTGTGTATGAGACCTGTCGGGCAGTCTGGAGTTCACACTGTAAGCATCTGGAGCCTTGCTACACGCTGCCAAACCAAGTGTTGTGCTAAGGTAGGTATCCCCGACAAGATAAGTTACCCCTGTGTCACGAGCATTTGCTGGGCACAGAGATCCAGTTTACTCCGCCTCCATTACACACAATTAGACATGGAAGTAGTGATGTTTTAGTTTTTTGAAAAAGTGAAAAGTGAGTGTGGTTACATTACCATTCAGTTTGAGGGTTACAGCAGAAAATTATATATTTATTGTTCTCACGTGGTATTGTAGGGGATTATTCTAACAAATGAAGGACATTTTGCCTGATAATTAGTTTTTATCCTCCTGTAACTAAAACCTCCAAAGTTTCAGGAGTAGGTAGTCATTATAAGAAGTGTTTGTGAAATAAAAATCAAGAATGTGGGATACTGTTTGTCCGTGATTTGGAGCGCCCAGCATGTGCTCCCAACGCAAGAGAAATGGTTTCTATTGGGGATACCTACCTTGGAACGACACATGGCTAAACGGTTTCAGAATCAGAATACTTTATTGATCCCTGGGGGAAATTATTTGGTTTGGTGGTTCGGAAAAAAAAACTATGAAAAACACTTTTGTCATACATTTGTTAAGTGTTGTATAGAAATTACATGAAATTCTTTCTCAGGTTAAACGTGATAGAAACAGCTTACACTGACATCCATCCTGATAACAGATGAGTATCGTGAAGCTGTGTTTGCATTTATTTGCACTGCTTTCCACTCTGGAAATCTATTTATGTTCAGCTTAAAGTATAGAAGGGTCAATTTTTTAAGTTGTTGAATACTAACTTTATTTTGTCCTAGTATTGCACTTCTTTTTTTCAGAACCAAAAAGTTTTTGAAATCTGCATAAAATTGTATTTTATGTTACTTTCTGAATATTTCTTTAAATACTTAGATTTAAAGTTCTGCTAAAAGTTTAAACAGAAAGATCAGTATTGCTGAACTGCGAAATATTTTGGGTCCAGTGTATTATTTGGATATGGGTATAACCTAGAATAGCTTTAGTGTTTTGTTTTTTCAAACTTGAGTATGACCCTATACAAAATGGAGTAAAACATTAAAAAAACAGTTTCATTGATTATAAAAGACTGTATCAGATTCATATCGGTATTGGCAAAAATCCAAAATTATGAAATCAGTATCAGACATAAAAAAGTGGTATGGTGCCATTTTTAAAGTAGAGCTGAGGTTTGTGGTTGGGGTTTGACGCAGTGACTCTACCTGAAGTCACTGCTGTGCAGAATCTGGCTCCAAATGTGCAACATGGCAGCCTGCACAAACAGGAAATTTTGGTTTCATTTCTGTGCAGTTGTTGGAAGTGGAACCATGTCATTCATCTTTTATACAGTCACTGGTCAAAAAGCAACCTGTTTTCACAAAGAAGTTTGGGATTTTTTGATATAAGGAAAAAAAAGACACTAAAAAAACAACAGACAACATCTTGATGCATTCTCAATCATCCAGGGAAGCAAATCTCCAAAAGTTGATTCTGTTCATCTGGACATAGCGTTTTGTGGGAGAAACGTTTCGTCATTAGTGTTTCATCCTTTCCTTCTTTCAATAACAAAGAAATATTAGCTTCATATAGCGTACGGGGAAATGCTTGAGTATGGAAAGAATGCTTAAACATTCTCAATAAAAGCGGGACCACCTTTTCAGAGTATTTTTTATACAATTCAATGCCAAACCCATCTGGGCCTGGGGACTTTCCATTGGGGAATGACTTAATAGCTTTTGAAACTTCTTCAATAGTAATTTCTGAGTTTAAAGCCTCTAGTGCAGCGTCATTCATTTTCGGGAGATCCAGCTTCCTTAACCAATCAGAAATATTGCCCCAAGATTTCGACATATAGAGCTCTTCATAATATTCTCTAAATCACTCATTAATAGCTTTAGGGCTGATTAAAATTTCGCCTGATCTTGATTTAAGGCCTCTCAGCTGCAGAGAAAGAAGCTTATGGGGTTTATCTCCAAACTCAAAATGCTTCTGTCTGATCCTAAATAACTGATTTGTTACTTGACTAGATAAAATTGTGTTATACACAAACTTCCTTTTAATGATGTCTTGAAACAAAGAGGGACAAGACGAGGCCTTGTGGTCCTTTTCTAACTGTGTTAATTCAATTTCTATTTCTAACAGGCGTTTCCGGCATTCTTTTTTTCCTCGAAGTTTCAAAAGAAATCTCCTTGCATTACCACTTTAAGTGTTTCCCATAAAATCGAATCAGAAACGTCTTGTTTCCAAGAATTCTGATATTTTAGCTGTCATAAATTGGCAAAAGAATGTCTCAGACAGGAGTGACGGGTGAAAACGCCAGTTACCCTGTTGTTTCGTTCCACAGAAGTGGTTTGAGAGTGATCCGAGATCAAGATGTTGTGATAAGTTGAGCATACAACTTTAGACATCAATTTAGAATCAAGCAAAAAATAATCTATTCTGGAGTACGATTTGTGCACTTGTGAAAAATAAGAGTAATCTCTACCAGTAGGGTTACACAGTCTCCAAACATCAACTAGGTTAGTAAAACTCAACATATTATTCAGAACAGCCAAAGCGTTAATCAACTGGGAGGTTTGAGTAGAATCTATCCAAGTGTTTATCAAGTACACAATTAAAATCGCCTCCTAAAATTACATGAGTATCAGCGAGACTAGGTAACAAATTAAATATTTGTTAAAAGAAAGCTGGGCTATCAAAATTAGGACCATATAAATTCAATAAAGTAACATGGGTTGCATGAATATGGCCCGTCACCAGAACAAATCGACCATTTGGATCACTAACTAACTAACCGTGGACTCATGTCTAAATGGGACTGTTCTACGGATCAATATAGCCACTCCTCGGGCTTTACTGGAGAATGTCGACTGAAAAATATGATTAGTCCAGGAGCACCTGAGCAACCTCTCTTTAGTCTGTTTCATATGAGATTCCTGAAGATACACAACATCAGCAGCTAGCGATTTCAAGCGAGAAAAAAACCTTAGCTCATTTGTGCACATGCCCCATTCCTCGCACATTCCAGCTCACAAATCTAATGCCACCACTTAGCGATGATGAATTAGGATTCACTCCAGAAATAATAAATAGCAATGTACACATGAATTGCCCTTGTATAACATTAATAAGTACAACATACCGACAACACAAAAAACATAACCCTCTTCCCCCCATCCCACTTTCCCAGACAAAGAAAAAACCCTGCATACTCACAGAGGGTCCACATGACCATTACGAACTAAACGGTCCAAGGTGACGAGCTTTCCAACCTCCCCCCACAAAAAAAGAAAAAAAAAATACCCTCAATGCCAACATAGTTGAGAGAAAAATGAAATAGTCACATACATCCCGATGCAATGAGTTTCAAATGAGATATCAGAGATGCCTTCCTGTATAGTTCCCAAAAAATCCTCAGCCTCACGGGGCGTGGTGAACGCTTTGACCATGGAGCCATGCGTTACCCGTAAACGCGCTGGATAGTAGAAACTACACGGAGCTTCAGCATCCATTAGGCGTTTACGCACGTCCTGGAAGACCTGTCGCTGTTTCACCACCTTCGTCAGGAAGTCAGGGAGGATGTGAATCGCCTTGCCATTAAAGTTCAAGGGAAACTGCTCCCGAGCAAGCTGTAGTGTCTTCTCTCTCACTTGAACGCGATGAATCCGCGCTATAGTTACCCGGGGATGATGATCGCCTCATTATCCGCTTGCAATTTTAAACATGTTTTCTCAACAAGGGAAAGACAATGGTGGTGATCAGAGCTAGCGTTTTCAACCTCCTGTAGCCAACCGCAGATACTCGTCTAAGATGCCTGTGATATAGCAAGAGACACTTCAAGACTGTCAAACCTTTCAGTCATCATGATATTTATTTTCTGAATTTCAGAAAGAACCTTGAAAAAACTTTTATCACCATTGTCCACGTCTTTAGCAGGCTCCGAGGTTAGTTCAGCTTCGTCGACTGGTTCAGGGGGAGCGGTGTTGGTCCTGTTCAGAGGCTTATCCTGCTTTTTAGCTTTTTCAGCTTTTAATTTGGGCATCCTGTTTGAGTTAGGAAACAAGTATTCTTCAGTGAAATCAGGAATTCTGAGGGATAAGGCAATAAAGTCCAAAATGTGAAGAGAGTATGAGGAGCTCCACAGAACCATGTCTACTCCATTCGGGGCTCACTAGCGCCCCCGTTTTTGACTATATATAAGACCATTTTGTTTCTTTCTCTACGAGATTGAAAAATGCATCTTTAACCGTGTATGTATAAAATATTATGTCAGCAAATGTTTTTTTTTCCACTTATTCTGTTTTATACAGGGACAGGATAGATCCTTTTATCTATAAGTTCCAGTTCAAGAATGTTGAATACTCTTCAGGACGCAACAAGACCTTACTTTGTTACTTGGTGGATAAAGGAAACACATCAGATGGACTGCTAAGAGGCTACCTGGAGGATGAACATGCTGGGACTCATGCTGAGGAGGCCTTCTTCGCTCAGTGTTTGCCACATTGCAACCCTGCAGTCAAATATACAGTCACCTGGTACAATATTTGTTTAAAGTATCGTGTGGTCTTGAGAACGTGGCAGTTTAGTCGAAACTTATTTCTTGTTTCAGTCAGGTCAGAAGTCTCCATTTTAGACCCACTCACCTCTAGTTTCACCCTTCAAGGCAAAAATCATACATACAATAATGACAGGGGGAATTAAAACTATTAGTTACTAATATTAATGAAAATGAACATGGGTTGTTAACAGAACAGCTGGTTGAAGTTATTACATTTATCCAATCAAATAGTTTTCAGTGCACACTGAGCCTGAACCTGCTCAGCTAGGCTGTTTCATTAGACAAGATGGGTAAACACGCAAAAGGTGAAGGCATCTGCAGTATTTGAAACCTCAGCAAAATGGATGTTAAAATTGATCTCACTGAAACACTGCAAAAGAACTCAAAAAGACAACTCTATCAGGCCACCTTCTATTTGGCTTGGCTCCATAGAATACTGGTTTACATGTTTGATTAACAAGCAGCAGATCCCTCATTTGAGCTTGAGAGGAGACATAAATACCTTGAAGCTTTGTCACGAAAGGCATTCATTGTATGTAAAAGGCTGCAACATCTAAAAGTTTTTTTTTTCCTGCCTTTTTTAAAGCAAAATTCTGCTCCATACCAGATGGTGGCCTGGGTGGGCAGTTCAGTGTGAGACTCCTGTGTACCTGTGTAAAATGTGGAATATGTCTGAGCCCCACACTGTTCGTCTGGTATATCATTTGTTCTCAGACTATGAGACAATCAAACTAGATACAATAAAAGCATCCAGTGACATAAATTAGATTTTGCTGTATACTGACAAGTAAAAAGAAATGTATTTTAATTTGAATTCTGCCTTGTTTTTTTCCAGGTACGTGTCCTCCAGTCCCTGTTCAACTTGTGCTACAAAGATAGCTGAACTATTGACGGACCGGAAAAATCTTAAGTTGAATATCTTTGCTGCTCGGCTGTTTGAGTGGGAGGAAGGAGAGATCCAGGCTGGGCTGAGGACCCTGCACGCTGCAGGCTGTAAACTGAGGATGATGAAGCCTCTAGATTTCTCTTACACCTGCGATACATTTGTTGAGAATGAGGATCAGCCTCTGAATCTGTGGGAGGACTGCAAAGAAAATTACGAGTATTACCATGAAAGACTGTCTGATATTCTAACACCATAAATTCTCATTTTTAGCATTTTGCCTTTTTTAGAGCTATAAAGTTATGCAGTGATACTAAATCTGTTATCTGCTTTGGCATTATTTATCTTTAAATAACTTCTTTACAGTTCAGATCTGGTACAGAGAGATACACAGACAGAAACAGAGATATTTTTCATAACAAAAGCTGAAAATCCTAATTAAAAAATTTATGTATGTGTGGATCTAGCCTTAGTGTCGGTAGAAAACTGGGATTTATGAGATGGCCACAGTTACTAATGTTGCTTTAAGCAGATTATTGTTATTTGTTTGTTGTTGTTATCTGAAATTTTTTACATTTCAAATAACAAAGTTTCACTGCTCTGTCACCAGTTTACAGTAAGAAATAAAAAATATAAGGAAAGCAAATTCAAGCTGCTGGCTCTTTAACTTTTAGTAAAATTCATCCAGTTCAGTTGCACTCGCAAGCTCTAAAAACAAAAGATTCAAAAATGTTCTCTTCCTTTTTATGACTAGGATGAACCGTGAGTATGGTGCAAGTAACATGTTAATAAGAAGTCGTGTTTTTGCTGGAAACAATCAAGCAATTGCACACTAAGACCCACAACTAAGGTGCAATTACCCTGTAATCACATGCAATTTCAGGTAAAAAGTTAGGCTTTTGCAGGAATCAATGAAACCAATGCGCCTTAGTCTAAGGTTTTGGTCTCATCTGACCAGAGCAACTTCTTCCACATGTTTGCTGTGTCCCCCACATGGCTTGTGGCAAACTGCAAACGGGACTTCTTATGGTTTCCTGTTAACAATGGCTTTCTTCTTGCCACTCTTCCATAAAGGCCAACTTTGTGCAGTGCACGACTAATAGTTGTCCTGTGGACAGATTCCCCCACCTGAGCCGTAGATCTCTACAGCTCGTCCAGAGTCACCATGGGCCTCTTGGCTGCATTTCTGATCAGCGCTCTCCTTGTTCGGCCTGTGAGTTTAGGTGGACGGCCTTGCCTTGGTAGGTTTACAGTTGTGCCATACTCCTTCCATTTCTGGATGATTGCTTGAACAGCGCTCCGTGGGATGTTCAAGGCTTGGGAAATCTTTTTGTAGCCTAAGCTTGCTTTAAATTTAAATAACTTTATCCCTGACCTGTCTGGTGTGTTCTTTGGACTTCATGGTGTCGTTGCTGCCAATATTCTCTTAGACAACCTCTGAGGCCGTCACAGAGCAGCTGTATCTGTACTGACATTAGATTACACACAGGTGCACTCTATTTAGTCATTAGAACTCATCAGGCAACGTCTATGTGCAACTGACTGCACTCAGACCAAAGGGGGCTGAATAATTACGCACACCCCACTTTGCAGTTATTTATTTGTAAAAAATGTTTGGAATCATGTCTGATTTTCGTTCCACTTCTCACGTGTGCACCACGTGTGCGCTTCACACTACATTCAGTCATCCACCCATTCACACACACATTCACACACTGGTGATGGCAGCTACATTGTAGCCACAGCTGCCCTGGGGCGCACTGATAGAGGTAATTATAGTTCAGTTATGTTCAGTTAGCCCTGCGACAGACTGGCGACCTGTCCAGGGTGTACCCCGCCTTTCGCCCTATGACAGCTGGGATAGGCTCCAGCGCCCCCCGCGACCCTGAAAAGGATAAGCGGAAGCGAATGGATGGATGGATGGATATGTTCAGTTACCAAAGTAATAAACGGTTAATATTCACATAATATCATGGTAGCAACAGTGGTTACAGTTGAGTAATATTACACTGAAATGTATGTAATTGGATAATAGGAGCCCAAAAACCAGGGACTATAGTCTGACAAACAGTTATTTCATAAATGTAAACTATAGTAGATAGGACAATGATTATGGGCAAACAGGTTTTCCAGCAGTTTGAGCTAAAAGTTTGAAATCATATTCAAAATGACAAAATGTAATCTTTAATTTTCGTTTCAACACATTAATCGCAATTACGTTGGCTATTGCATACACCTCAAAATCTGCTGGTTCTCAGTGAAATACGTTGTTTTTGTGCATCATCATATAGATAGATGTAATTCAAACATCTTTTATTCAGTTTGAGCTAAGAATTTCAAATTATACTCAAAATGACAAAATGAACATGTTTAAACAAGAACAGTGTCATTTCACTACATTAACTGCTATTATAAATTCTCAGGGAGTACAGTGGTCTCTCACAATAACGCGGTCCACCTTTCACAGCCTCGCTGTTTCGTGGATTTTTTTGTGCAATTTTGCATGTTTTCTTTCTTTCTTTTTTTTTCATTTACAGCGCATTTTGTTCTGCTTCCTGATTGGCTGTAGACCATTGTCAATCAGTCTCATGCCGTGTCTCCTGTACACTACAGAATGTGTTCAGCTTGTAAGATTTACATAGATCTTCGATTGCTAGCAGTGTGATTCTGAAGTGCTGTACTGTACGTTTATATGTTTTCTCCCCAACAAACAACAATGTTGATGAAACTTTTGCACTGTCAAAGGGACCTGCAGGTGCCTTTGGTTTCATTCTATAATACTGGACTTGTGTTTTTACACTCAAAAAAAATGAAATTGGGTGGTTGTTACATGTACAAGATTCAAACTTGTAATTTGAACTAAATAATTTCACGTTTCTATGGTGAACATAATTAAATCATGTAGCATCTGCATGAAATTCAGCAACTTAATTTGTTCTTGTTGAGGTGACATGATACAATCTTGTTGTAAGAGTGGTTAGTTGCCTGGACTCACAAAATTTACAAGATCACATTAGACGTCAAACTGCAGGAAAATGGCTGGAATTTTAAGAGGCAGACAACTACACCACACCACGTGTATGCTATCGCTATTTATTGTGGTTTAACCTCTCAAGGACAAAAATGTACAGAAAATTCTGCATCAAGCCTTGTAATCATAGGTTTCCTAGTTTTGATAAGCCTGGATTTGGTTTGGTGGTGTGATGGTTAGTGCTGTTGCCTCTTAGCAAGAAGGGCATGGGTTCAAATCCACAATCTGGTTGGTTTGCAGTGGGTTATTAGAGTGAGCTTAATTGGTCATTCTAAATTATCCATGAATGTAAGTGCAGATGATTGTTTATCTCTATGAAATCATCAACTCCAATATTGGTTCATTAAGCAAGACTAGCAGTAATTGCCTTGATTAACAAAGTAGTTGTTCAAACAACAAGATTGTGTTTTCCTGAAGTGTTTAACTTGTGTAAAATGAATTAAAACAGATTTCGCTTTACATACTTCAATAAATCACTTCAAGTCAATGCAAGTATACTATGTTGATCCAATGTAATCTGATTACATTAAACCACCAAATGTCAAATGCATTGGTTTGCCATGGTCAAAAATGGGTTATTGTACTTGGTTAAATCACGTGGAAAAAGGTGCCATGATTAAATTCAACATCATTCAACAACAGATTTTTTCGAGTGTACGAAGGTTTGAACTTTCAGAGTTTAAACAAGAGAGAAAAGTGTGAAAATGTTCATGCCTGTCTGAGAAAAGTGTATAAAGTGTAGTGAGGGTTTTACAGCCTTAAAACATCTATAATAATTGTAAAAATACAGCTGGCTACTTTGTGGATTTCACTTATTGCGGGTTATTTTTAGAACGTAACTACCGCGATAAACGAGGGACCACTGTACACGTCAGAATCACTTGTTCTCAGTGAAATATGGTCTTTTAATGCATCATCAAAAAAAAAAAAGTAAGTAAGAGGCTAACAAACTGTTTTCTGAAGCGCTGGTGCCTCTATTAGAAAAACAACACAGTGCTTGAGAAGCACTATGCTGAGGCTTGGTTCATCTAACCCGAGTCACGTCACTGCTTTCAGTACCTGATTCAATGGTTTAATGAAGTAAATCATTGGTGGGATCTTTGGTACGTTTTGTGATGATTCTGTGCGAGAGATAGTGAACCAGTGTGCGAGATGTCATGGAGCCAGCGAGGAAGAGAGGACTTTCTGCCTATTCCTAAATAAAAAACAAACAAATAGAATAACTTTATATGTTTTGTGTTTTTATTTTACCAGTTCATTACAAATCCTGCTCACAGGTCACAAACATACATAAGAAATACACTACACATAAAAGTTATAATAGAGTATATCAAATGTACCTGTCCACTGGATAATTACATAACCACATGGAGGCAGGACATCACAGCACACTCCCAACCTATTGTAACAGTCTCTTGTAAATTATTATACATAATGTCACAATCAAAGAGAGACCATACCATGGTACATGTTTTAAACAAGGAAGGTTCATTCATCAAAATTATTTCATAGTGAAACAGACATAACATAAACAGTATCCCGATATCAGACAGAAATGTCACGTGATATTATACAGAAGTTGTCAACTCAGCTCTCTTGAGTGGGCAATTGTAACAAAATCGTTGATTGCAAGCTGTAGATTCAAGCAGCTCTTCATATTTTTGTCCAGCAGATGGCACCAAAGAGGACTGTGTAAAAGCTTTGAGTAATGAACCCTTTTTCAATGCTTCAGAAAGCATTATTTGGCCACCACTAGTAGTACGTGATCATCTACACATTTTTTCTTTTCACGACATTGTTTTTTTTAGCAGAGCCAAGAAGGCTTCATCTGTTTAAAAATTGTCCTTCAATATAGTTTGTCAACAGAGATTATTGCATTCCGGGTTTTTTTTAATAACTTGCTTTCTTATGAGGACCAGGTGTTCGTTGTGCAACAGTTTAACAAACTGGCATCAGCACTGATAGCTTTTGATCTCAAGAAATAATGTGTCGCTAACCTGAGATGAAGAGGTTGATTTTGTCTGGGTTGGCAAATTGGTGAATGAGTCCAGTCATTGAGGGTGTTTTGATGAGGATGCAGCTCCATTTTTTGTCTTTTTCTTCTCCATTGTAATATTTGCTAATGGGATGAATAAATATAGTATTTCAGCTCATCCAGGTTGAAATCAGGAGTTAATGTAAAAAAGTGTGAAGAGAATGTGTTTATTCTGCTGGATTGTTTCAGAAGTGGTCCTTCTCAATGTCATGCCCTTCTAACAAGATGCACTCATAACAAAATTTCAATTGTCTAGTAGAGCATGAGGATGGCAGAACCACGATGAGTTGCTAGCTGCCCATTACAGTTTAACCAGAGGAAGGAAGTAAAGAAGTGCATATACAAATGATAGGGAGAACTTTCAGGTATCTTTACTTTACTTTAGTAATTGGCGATCGTGGCTCAAGAGTTGGCAGGTTGTCTTGTAATTGGAAGGTTGCCGGTTCGAGCCCCGATTCCGACAGTCTCGGTCGTTGTGTCCTTGGCCAAGATACGTCACCAGTTGCCGACTGGTGGTGGTCAGAGGGCCCGGTGGCGCCAGTGTCTGGCAGCCTCGCCTCTGTCAGTGCGCCCCAGGGCAGCTGTGGCTACAATGTAGCTGCCATCACCAGTGTGTGAATGTGTGGGTGACCGAATGTAGTGTGAAGCGCATTGGGGTCCATAGGGACTAAGTAAAGCGCTATACAAATACAGGCCATTTACCATTTTAATTATTTTTTGAGAACTTTTAATCTCTACATTTTAAAGAATATATCTGTACTCTATTTTTTGGGAGCCTTTTTCAACTTTATTCGATAGATACAGTGAAGAGAGGACAGGAAGGTAGGGGCAGATGAAGAGGGCAAGACATGCAGCAAAGAGCTGCGGGTCAGACTAAAACTCGGGCCAGCCGCTCTCAACCATATGGCATGTGCTGACCCGCTCAATGCAC